CTCATTGTGATGGTTCAGTTTCACGGAGTCAGCTTGACTGGACAGGGATGCCAACATGGCTGTTGAAGCATTATTCCCTGGGTGTGTCTGTGAGGGTGCTTCCAGGGGAGCTTGGTGTGTGAGACAGTGGACTGCAACACTTAAGATCCACTTTCAATGTCAGGCAGGCACTGTCCTATTGGCTGGGGAGCCTGGTTGGGACAAATAGGCAGAAGAGGAAGAACTCTCTGTCTCTGCTCATTCTATCTCCCTTCTGGAGCCAGATGCCTTTCCTCCTCCTGCCCTTGGGCATCAGACTGCAGTTTCTTCCACTTTTGCACTCTGGGACTTGCATCAACAGCCTCCTGTGGGCTCTTAGGCCTTTGGCCTCAGACTGAGGTCTGTTACTGTCAGCTTCCCTAGTTCTGAGGCTTCCAGACTTCGAGTGAATCATGCTACCAGCTTCTTAGGTTCTCAGCTTGCCAGATGGCCTGTTGTGGGACTTCTCCTCTATAATCAGCTGTTAATTACACCTCCTTAAATCCTCTCTCATACATCCTATCGGTTGCTCTCTCTGGAGGGCCTTCGGCTAACCACACCCATGTTTATTGCCTTTTCTTCACAATAGCCCAAGATATGAATCCCAACCTAAAAGTGTCCATGTAGATGAATGGATAAAGAAAAATGTGGTGCATATGCACAATGGAGTACCTATTCAGCCATAAAAAATAATGAGATCCTGTCATGTGTGACAACATGGATAAGCCTGTAGGACATTACATTAGGGGAAATAAGCCAGGCATAGAAAGACAAACTTTGCATGTTCTCACTTATTTGTGTGAGCTAAAAATTAAATGAATTGAAATGAAGATAGAGAGTAGAAGAGGCTGGGAAGGTTAGTGGGAATGTGGGGAGGAAATGGGGAAGGTTAATGGGTACAAAAAACAGAAAGAATGAATAAGGCCTAGTATTTGCTAGCACAACAGGGAGACTACAGTAAAAAAATAATTTAATCGTACTTCTAAAATAACCAAAAGAGCATAATTTGGTTGTTTTGTAATACAAAGAATAAATGCTTGAAGAGGTGATGGATACCCCATTTACCCTGATGTGATTATTACATACTGCGTACCTATATTAGAACACCTCATGTAACCCATAAATATATACACCTATTATGTAACCACAAAAATAAAAAAATAAAATAAATATAAATTTAAAAGCTGATGTTATAGAGGTAGAAATTAGAGCAGTGGTTACAGAGGCAGGAGGAGGAGGGGGAAAGAGAGAGATGGGAAGGGTTGGTCATTGGGTACAAAGTTACAGTTATAGTTAGAATAGGAGGAGGGTGACAATAGTCAACAATATTATGCTGTATAGTTCAAAATAGCTAGAAGAGATGATTTTGAATGTTCTCACTAAAAAAGAATAAGAATACTACAATCAATCTATGCCTATATATTTGATAACTTATATGAACCAATTTCTTAAACACACATGATAAAAAAACTAATTCAAAGAAAAGTAGATAATCTGAATAGCCTGACATCTGTTAAAGAAACTGAATCTGTAATTTAAAACTTTTCCAAAGAGAACTCCAGAGCCAGACAATTTCACTCATGAATTCTATCCAACATTTAAGTAAGATGTAATACAAATTTTACAGTCTCTTTCAGAAAATTAAGGAGAGAAAATGGCCCACTCATATTTGAGATACCATCATCCTAATGCAAACTCAGACAAAAGATATTACAAGAAAAAAACTAAATAGCAATATCTCACATAAACATAGGTACAAATATTCTTACTGAGATATTAGCCAATCACCTCTAGCAATGTATCAAAAGATAATATTACATCAAGATCAAGTGGAGTTTATCCCAGGTATTCAAAGTTGGTTCAACATTCAAAAATCAATCAATGTATTTTATTATATTGTCATACTAAATAAGAAACATCAGATGATCATATGAATAAGTGCAGAAAAGGCATTCAACAAAATTCAATGATAATTAATGATAAAATTCCCAACATGTAGGAATGAGAAGGAAATTTCATATTCTAAAAAGGGTATCATGGAAAACCTACAGTGAACCACTGAGTAATTTTCCCCTATAAAATCAGAAACAAGTCAAGGATGTCCTTTCTAGCCACTACTATTCACTGTTAGTCTGGAAGTCCCAGCTAGTGCAATAACACGTACACACACACACACACACACACACACACACACACACGCAAGCAGAGAGAGAGAAGTAGAAAGGCATACATATTATAAGGGAGAAAAATGCCCCCATTATATTAAGAAAACCCCAAATAATGTACAATAAAACTCCTAAAGACCCTTCCAAAAGACTCCTAGACTTGATAAAGAACTTCAGTAAAGTTTCAGGACACAAAATCAATGTACAAAGCACAGTAGCATTTCTCTACACCTATATCATTCAAGCTAAGAACCAAATGAAGACCCCATTTACAACAGCCACAAAAAATAAAACACCTAGGAATACGTTTAATCGAGGAGGTGAAAGATCTCTCTCACAAGAGGAATTTCTACAAAACACTGATGAAAAGATTGTGTATGACACAAATAAACGAAAAAGCATCCCATGCTCATGGATCAAAAGAATCAATATTATTAAAATGACCACGCTCAAGCAATTTACAGATTTAGTAATCTCTATCAGAATTACCAACACATTTTCACATAATTAAAAAATCTTAAAATTCATATGAAACCCAAAGAAGAGACTGAATAGCCAAACCAATCCTAAGCAAAAAGAACAAAGCTTGAAGTATTACATTCTGACTTTGAATTATACCACAAGGCTATAGCAGCAAAACATCATGATATTGGTATAAAAATAGACATATAGACCAATGGAACAGAATAGTGAACCCAGAAATAAATGCCTATTAACAACTGATCTTCCCAACACTGACGAAATTAAACAATAGGGAAAAGAATACCTATTCAATATGTAGTGCTAGGAAAAGCGGGCTAGCCATGTACAGAAAGAATGAAACTGGACCCCTATCTCTCACCATATACGTGAATTAACTCGAGATGGATTAAAGATTTATATTTTAGACATGAAACTGTAAAAATCCTGTAAGAAAATGTAGGAAAAATTATTCTGGACATTGGCCTGGCTTAGGCAAAGAATTTATGACCAGGTCCTCCAAAGCAAATGCAACACAAACAAAAATAAACAGATGGGACTCAGTTAAGCTAAAAACCTTCCACACAGCAAAAGAAACAATCAACAGAGTAAACCTACCTATTGAGAAAAAATGTTTCCAAATTATGTATCTAACAAAGGCTAATATCCAGAATCTGCAAGAAACTCCAACAACTCAACAAGAAAAAAAAAGAAAAAAAACAAAAACAAGTAATGCCATTAAAAGTAGGCAAGAGGCCATGAATGGTGTTTTTTTGAAGACATGCAAGTGGCCAACAAACATATAAAAGATGTAATATCACTAATTATCAGAGAAATGCAAATTAAAAATACACAATACTATCTTACACCCATTCAGAATAGCTATTATTTAAAAATCAAAAAACAACAGATGTTGGTGAGGATGTGGAGAAAAAAGTAATGCTTATGCACTGTTAGTGGGAATGTAAGTATCACAACATTTATGGAAAAAAAGTATGGAGATTTTTTGCAAAGAACTAAAAAATAGAACTACCATTTGATCCAGCAATCTCAGTACTGGGCATCTACCCATCTACATTTTACATATACATGGAATACTATGCAGCCATAAAAATAAATGAAGTCATGTGTTCCACAGTAACATGAGTGGAACTGGAGTACATTATCTTAAATGCAAAAATAATTCAGAAACAGTCAAATATCACGTATTCTCACTTGTAAGTGAGAGCTTAACAATGGGTACACATGGACATATAGAATAATAGACATTGGAGACTACAAGGTGGAGGTGGGAAGTTGACAAGGGGTTGAAAAATTACCTATTGGGTGCAATGTTCACTATTCAGGTGGATTAGTGCGCTAAGCCCAGACTCCTCTACGATGCAATATATGCATGTAAGAAATCTGCACTTACCCTCTAAATCCATTTTTAAAATGGAAAAAAAAAAATCACCGTAAATTACCACTTCATAGCCGCTGGAATGACTATTATAAGCAAACAAAGCAAAGAGCAAGCAAGTTTTCGTAGGAGCCCTGGTGGGGTGTTTTCATCATGGGGCAGGTCCCTCATGGGGTGGTTTGAGTACCGCTCTCATATTAAGCCAAGGTGAGTTCTCCCTCTGAATTCATGCAAGAGGCTGGTTGTTTAAAAGACTGTGGCATGTCCTTTGAGCAGCTACAATTCAGCCATTGTTGATAGCGGTGTAAAATAGTACAACTACTTTGGTAAAACTTCTTGCAGTTGTTTGTGAAACTAAGTACTCACCTACTCTAGCAGCCCAGCAGTTCCTCCTGAGTATCTACCTTAGTGAAATGAAAATGGCTTATACAAAAACACTTTTACATAGATGTTCATAGCAACTTTATTCATAATTACCTGAAACTGGAAAGTCAGGTGTCTATTCATAAAAGAATAAACAGAACAGGAAAAATCTAATCTATAGTATTAAAAAAATAATTCAAACTATAGGTTCCTCTGAGATGTATGTGGGAGTATAAGAGTACTTTCTGTAGTGATAGTAATATTTTATATCTTGATAACGGTTTGGGTTACATAGGTATATGTATTTGTCAAAACTCAGTGAGTGTATATTTAATATTTTAAACATCAGTACAGTGAGTTCTCCCTCTGAATTCATGCAAGAGCTGGTTGTTTAAAAGACTGTGGCATGTCCTTTGAGCAGCTACAATTCATACATTGTTGATGACGGTGTAAAATAGTACAACTACTTTGGTAAAACTTCTTGCAGTTGTTTGTGAAACTAAGTACTCACCTACTCTATGACCCAGCAGTTCCACTCCTAGGTATCTACCTTAGTGAAATGAAAATGAAAACATACCAAAAAAAACACTTTTACATGAATGTTCATAGCAACTTTATTCATAATTACCTGAAACTGGAAAGAGTCCAGGTGTCTATTCATAAAAGAATAAACAGAACAGGGAAAAATCTAATCTATAGTGGTAAAAAAATAATTCAAACTATGGGTTCCTCTGAGATGTATGTGCAGGAGTATAAGAGTACTTTCTGTAGTGATAGTAATATTTTATATCTTGATAACGGTTTGGGTTACATAGGTATATGTATTTGTCAAAACTCAGTGAGTGTATATTTAATATTTTAAACATCAGTACATATATATTGTAACTTTAAAAAAGCTGTAAGCAAATATTGTACTCAATGATACAAATGTTGAAGTATTTTAGGGAGATATGTACTGATATCTGCAATGTATTATACTTTAAAATTCACTGAAAATAAGATTAACTGATGAATGCATAGATGGGAAGATTGGTGATAAAGCAAGTATAGCAATATCTTAATGGTAGAATCTAGATGTAAGTCTATGGGTTTTCTGTGTTAAATGTTTTCAACTTTTCTATATGTTTAGAAATATTCATAATAAAATGTTGGGAAAATAATGAGTTACTACTCATTGTTTTAGGCACTTAGATATATGAGAGGTAACAGAGCGAGAGTTTCCCAGAGGAACTTATCCGAGGGAAGTAAATTAATATTTACACCGTTCCTACTACAAGTCGGGGGTAAAGGTAAGGATAACAATTTATTTTTATCTTCACAACAAGTGGGCACAGAAGGTATTATTATTGTAACTGGAAACTCATGACTTAGCAGGTTAAGTGACTTGTCCAAGGCCAAAATCAATAAGTGGCAGTCAGGATTTCACACTGAATTCCTTCTGATTACAAAGCCTGTACTCTTTGTAGTATGTCAAGTTTTGCTGCTATCTTCACCCTGCCTCTTCACCCCGTATCTCTTTCCCTGCTCTTTTGTTCTTCCCTAGTACTTATCACCATTTGATATATTACATATTTGCTTATTTATTTTTAATTACTCTCTCTTGTCACTATAATGAGAATTCCAAGAGGGCCAGGAATTTTTGTCTGTTGTGCTTACAGTTTCATCTCCAGTGTCAAGAACAGAGCATCACTCTTGGTAGATGCTCATGGAATATTTGCTGAGTAAACTGAATTAATGCACAGTAACAGTTTGCTTGGAATAAGCAGAAGCAGGAGGGGTAATCCATCTGCAAAAAAAAAAAGCATAGTAAAAAGCTTGGCTGCAAGATGCAAAATAATTGGCTCCAGAAACCCAAAGTAGTTTGGTATAGCTAGGGCAGAATGTATGGAAAACATGAATCATATGCTAGAAGAGGAAGAAGGGATCAGATCATACAGAACCTTAAAAGCCATAAGGAAGGACTCTAGTCTTTCTCTGAAAGACACTGGGGAGGTTTAGAAGGATCTTAAAATGGGAGCAAAAGATAAGACTTGTATTTCAGAAAGAATGTTCTAGCTACAGCATGAGAAATTAATAGAAGAGGGCTCATGGTGGAAGCAAGGACATCAGTTATAACTTTAGCCACGGGACAGAAGAGTAGTCTCACTGCAAGAAGAGGCATTGTAGATAGAAAGCAGGGGATAGTTGGAGAAAAATATAGGAGGTTGAGTTGATAAGACTGGTTATGTAATATAAGGGACAGGGAAAAATTAAATATGATGTTTATGGCTTGGAAAACTTAGTGGATGGTGGTGCCATTGAATGAAAATGGGAAAACAAGTGGAGAAGTAGGTTTAAAATGAGTAGAAGTGATGAGTTCAGGTTTGAATATGATATGTTTTATATTCTACAAAATATGCAAGTTGTGATATCAGTAGTCAATTGAATACACTGGTGAAGAGCTTTGCATAAATCTGGGCTAGAGACATAAATGTTGTTGGGAAACCTAGCTGTTTGGTCACTGAGGATAATTTAATAACTGTTTTTCATTTTAATAATGTTTCATTTAAAAAATACTACCTCTAATATTTGACCCCACCTCCAAAATAAATCTAGTATTCTTTGGTTGATGGCTATTTATTATTCCATGGGAATTATAAGAAGAATATAAACTGTTTGATAATAAAAAGCTATGGAATAGCAAGATTAAAATGTAGCAGATATAAGAATCTTAGGGATTTTTGTTACATTAGAAGTCTAACCTTTGGCAAACATATTACAATTGGGGATAGTTCTTTGATACTTACCTGATCAAATACAGCTCTTTATTCCATGGGTAGATATTTAACACTGGCCCAACCCCAATCATGTGGTTGTGACATTCTCCAACATCTTCAATATATTCATGCTTCAATGGCACTTTACTGAGGAGTTCAAATTCCTCAGGTGCCTTTTGAAGTACCTGTTCTGCTGCATAGAATCCATCCACTAGCAGTGTCCTGCCACCAGTTCCTTCATGTTTAAGACAATGAAACACTTGAATGCTAAAGAGAGAAAAGAAAATTCTTCTGTTCAGTGGAAGAGAGAACATATCAAAATTCTAGAAATTATATATAAAATAATTACTGAACCTACTTGTCCTTTTCTTTTCATTTCCTAATTGTTTTCCACTCATAGGCAGTTGTACTTTTTTGTGTTTTGAAATATTAATGCCAGTAGAGGTTTCTTCTAAACATATCTAACATATATTGAAGCTTATATGTGCTGGGCCCTGGGAATACAGGCATGAATAATATATAACCTATATTTTCAAGAAGCTCATAGTCTAGTAAGAAGAGATAAAGTAAATAAATACCAAATAAAATATGATAGGTACTATAATAAAGTTGCATACGAGATATAGTGGGGTCATAAACAAAGGAGCGATCTGTTCTAGTGGGGTGTTGTATAAAGAAATGTTTTGGAGAATGGAAATTGTTTTGACTAATCTTAAAGAATGAGCAAGAATTGGAGAAGAAGGAGATTGAGATGAGGAGAAGGCATTCCAGGCAGAAAGCATGACCAAAGATACCAATGTAAAACAAGGTATATTTAAGGAAGAGAGTAAGAAGTTCCTATTGGCATAGCACAGAGTACCACAAAATGATTTTAAACTGTGAAACTCTACGACCATATCAATATTTTAAAGAGTCCATTATGTTGATAGTGTGGAATATGGACTGGTGAGAAGCAGTGTGACAAAAAATCTTGGAAGACAACTTGAATAACTGAAATAGTAAAGAAAAATATTGAGAGCTTGAACTCAGAAAGGGGCATTATAGAGAAGAAGACACGCCTGAGAGATACTGAGGTAGAAGTAGCAGAATTTGATAACTGAAGGACAGGCAAGAATCTAGAATAACTCCAGGTTTCTCACTTGGGCACCTGAAAAATGATAATGTTGTTCACTAAGACTGAGATTACAGGCAAATATGCTATTGAATGACAATGAGGAAGTATGAGAGGTTGAGGAAGGAGTCCAGTTTAGAGGCATGTTAGAACAGCTAATCATATATGTCTGAATATGTTAACAGGGAAAGGTAAGGTGACTATTAATTGACCGGAAAACTAAGGTAGAATTTTCAAATTAATGAGGGGAAATAAAATTAATAGTAATTTAGTCAAAAAAGCAAAACTAAGAAAAAGTAAACAGCAAATTAAAATAAGAAATAAACAAAAAGATAGAGTAAAATCAAGGACAATCTAATGTAATATAAATACAATTAAAAAGAGAAAGGTAAGCCTGGCTATATTGCAATTTCTGTGAAACTTCTAGGTCAGGGTTTTTTAGTTACCAGTTAAGATGTTTAAGGAAGAGAGGTGGATTTTGTTACAAGTGATAGCTAAAGCCAAGAGCATGGAAGAGGTCATTTGGGGAGATCATTTCAGGTAAGAAAAGAGGGATAAGGAGAAAACCTTGAGGAAGGATAATATTTAGGAAATAGACAAAAGAAGTCAGCAAAGGAGGCTAAGGAAAAATGGTCAGATATATAGGAGGGAAACTAGGAAAGAAGGAATATTTAAGAAACTTAGTAGTGGTTAACAGTATGTCTCAGGGGTCAAGTAAGATGACAGTACACACTGGATATCACAATTAGTTAGTTGCTGCTGATGTTAGAGAGAGTAACTTTAATTGCGGTGAGGGGTGGGTTGGGAAAACTAGATGCCTATGGGTTTGAGGAGTAAATGGGAAGTGAGAATGAAAATATATTGAATGTAGCTATTATTCTTTTAATAATCTTAGCCATGAAGTGGAAGAGAAAAACATGGCTGTAGCTAGACAGAGGTAGAGTCCAAGGAAGTACAAAAATAGAGAATTAAGATATGGGAGGCTGATAGGAAGAAGTCAATAGGTATGGAAAAGCTGAAGATAGAGGAGAGAGAAATCCCCAGGAAGCTGGAAAGGATGAGATCCAGAGCAAAGGTAGCTTTAGAGAGAGCAAAGCATATAACAATGAAGATGGTGATTAAAATGAATAAAATGATGAAAATTATACCTAATATTTATTGAACACTTAGTTTGTGTCAGGCAGTATGATCATATAATTTAATTCCTTAGCAATGCTAATGGATAGGTTTTATTACTAGTCCCATTTTACAGATGAGGAAACTGAAGCACAGAGAAATTAAGTTACTTGTCCAAGATCACAAATTTAATACATGTTCAGGCTGGGATGCAAATCTGGGTCTGGTTGATGACATAGCCTGAACTCCTAACTGCTATTACCACACTGCTAATCTACTTGGTCCTTGCCATTGATTACAAACAATTAAATTGAAGCCACCAACAGTTGTTTATCTCTGGTGTTGGTCATAAAGGGAAGAGCTAGTCAGTATTTGAACCTCAACCCCTGTACAGATGCTTCTTATCCCATTTCCTCTTTTTTCCTTCTGTATCCACTAGAATGAGGATGCAGGGCTGTTGATCTCTCCATATATTGATAACATTGAGCAGGATATCTAAAAGCTGCTTTGTTCTTCCTTCCCTGAATCAAACATTCTTAAGTTACAAACCCTTAAAGGAAATCAGTGTAACCATGAGCAATTGCATATTATCATCCTCATATAGTCTCCATAAATCTATGTGCACTCATTTTACTCATATCTTTGTGTCTCAGGCTTATCATCTATATGCAGAAGCGAGATGAACAACAGAATAACCACAGAGGTGCCTCTACTGAGGAGCAAATGGTAGGAAAATTGAGTATAGTATGTATCATCTTTGGCTCAAAAGCATCTTATTCCATGTGAAAAAGTTATTCTTCCATCATTCCTCCTCTCCAACTTCTTGTAAATCAGATTCAAATTCTTCTTAATGCCATACTCAAAGCAGCTGTGTTTGCATGACAACACTTTTCCAATATGTTAATAACTAAATGCAAGAAATCTGTACAAATTTCAAAACTAATGGTTAGGCAATACTTTTTTGGGGGATAATTTATAATTACTTTGAAAAATGTAAAATTACATTTTAATAATTAACAAAATTAGGACTCCATTTATATAGTAAGATGAATTTTCCATCACTTAAAAATATTTTATTCCTATGAGTCTGATATAGTTTGAATACTTATCCCCACCAAAATCTCATGTTGAATTGTAATCTCCAATGCTGGAAGTAGGGCCTGGTGGGAAGTGTTTGGGTCATAGAGGTGGATCCCTCATGGCTTGATGCTGTCTTCAGATAGTGAGTGAGTTCCTGTGACAGCTGGCTGTTTAAAAGTGTGTGGCACCTCCTCCATGACTCTCTCACTTGCTCCTGTTTTTGTCATGTGAACTGTTTGCTCCCCATTCACCTTCCACCATGATTGGAAGTTCCCTGAGGCCTCCCCAGAAGAAGATGCTGTTATGCTTTCTGTATAGCTTGCAGAACCATGAGACAATTAAATCTCTTTTTTTAATAAATTACCCAGTCTCAGGTATTTATTTATAGCAATGCAAGAATGGCCTAATACAGAATCTAAAATCTGAGTTAAGGTATTTCAAAATGATGTTTCTAGGGGAAGAGAAAGAAAGTCATACAAATCCCCAGCAGCAGATACGATCTTGGTTCAAATAGAATGGAAAATAATTAAGAAACCACTCAAGACTATCACATATAAAGACCTTACACTGTAAAAATCTAATCCACCTACCCACAGGGCTCTTGAAAATAGGTAGTGTCAGTGTGCCGATCCAGAGCTAGCTTGGTGTATGCAGTGTCACCTCTGGAGAAGTCTGAAGTGAAATACCACATCCTCCCATAAATGGTTTCTCTGTTAGATGAAATAAAGAAAGACCTGTTAGCTATTTGAAATGTTCATTCTTGTCTTTCAAAACTCTTTCCAATACCTTCTTTAGTTACTCACAAATAACAATAGATTTTTTTGGTTCCAGAATTTCATCCATAAGGTGAAATTCAACTGTTTCATAAGGTGAAACAGCTGAACACGCTAGTCTTGACAATTCTGTCACTTATTAACATTCTAGAAAACTGGGGAGAAAACTGTGGAAGTATATGTATTATGAAAGCTTAGAGAATTATCTCACTCTGATTATGTGCCCAGTTTTCATAGCCTTCATAAATTCAAGGTTCTTTTCTATGCTCACCATTCTTTCACAGAAAAAGATGATGTAGCTGCTTCTAGAAGTGATTTTTTTAACGTTATTTACTATTTTTATAGCTGTTGTCTTTCATTAGTACCATTTTTTCAATAATGGTGGTCATTTCCTAGTATTTTGTATAATCCAATTTGCAAGGATGACTGAAGAGTTCTCATATTCTTTATAAGACACAGAAGTGATTAATGTAGATCCTCACTCATCTTTTGGACATGGAGGAATAAGGAAAAGAGAACAGGATAGTTTCTGTTAGCAAGTATTTGGTGAGACTTGCTGTACCATTGTTGTTGTGCCTCTCCTTGAAGTATACATCATATATTTTGATTTTGTAATTATTTTCCTGGTGGGCTCAAATCTGACTAAAGGTCACTTTAATTCTTTAGCTTTCAAAGTTCATCTTATTTTCTGAACCCTTGAAATTCAAATAGGAAATGCTCTTCCTTTTGAACTATCATCCCTAAAGCTGTCTCAATTTATTGCTTACCAGCACAGTTTCTTTCACTTGAAAATTCTCAAACTGTGATTCAAACTGAGGGCTCACAGATGCTGTTAATTATGCTCTACCAGCATAGGGCAGAAGACCCAGCATACTATCTATTACAAAATGAGCTATATCTGGATCTTATTAAGTAAAAGGAAAGTAGCAATTATAATAAAGTAGGTTGACATCACACTTAATACTATAGAAGATTAATCTATATACCACCCAGAAGTGTGGAATGGTAATGAAAAGAACAATGTATTTAAGATTAGGAAACCTGGGCTATTTGAATTCAAGTTCTATTGTTTACTAGTAGAGCGCTCCTGGGCAAGACACTTGGTATATTTGAGTGTCAGTGCCTCATCAGCAAAATGGGGACAAAACACACTGATCAGTATTACTAATAATGCATGGGAATGTGCTGGCTGAATGCTATATAGCTTTCTAAGGCAGTGTTATTAACAGTCAGTCTCTGAATCAAGCCATAGGAATCCCAGAAGGTCAAATTGAACAGATGGGAAAATAGAGGACAGCGGGGGTCGAGTGTGTGTGTGTGTAATGGACATGCCTATGGTCACACAACTACTTGATGGTAGAACTCAGACTACTATCCAGTTCTCCTTACAGTCAGTGTTTTTTTCCAGTGTACAATAATACCTGTCACTTGGGATCACTGGGTTAGAAACATATTACCAACGACTCTGTAGTCATCATTATATTTTACACGTAAGTGTATTTAGAGATTAGAAATCCAGACTTCAAATAAAGCACTGCAAGTGGGAGTCCCCTTATTCATGCTACAAAATATTCTGGATTGAAAACAAGGGTGACCATACCTGTTACATTTATTTATTGGTGCTCATGCTCTGGAAATTAATTATAGTACTGTGGATTTTTGGAAAGAAATGAATTACCTGATTAAGCTGATCCTTTCTGCCAACTTCTCTGTGTGCTCTTGAGTGGGAGGGACATTTTCTACAAATGCAATTCCATAGAGCAGAAAGTTTTGCAGAAACTTCTTCAGTCCCTCGTTGGTTTCTAAGAAGCTCTGGCAATCTACAGATGGAACTTGGGCTTGCTGGTAGATTTCAGCATTCCATAGTATTCTAGGCTGGATAACTTTTTGTTTCTGCCCTTCATAGCTGTTTTTCACCAGCCAATTCAAATCATATTTAGTCACATGACCATCTGGCCCTTTTAAGGGGAAAAATAAAAGGCACTAAAATAATAATTACAAATAATGTCAATATTTGTAATTGGTTACAAATTATAATTCGTTACAACTAGTTAAGAATCTTTTTCTTAGCAATCAGTTATCCAGTACTATGTTGTTTATGAAACCAAATTAAAATGAGTGCCTAGAATGTTTCTGAGACAGAAATATGTGTGGTTTGAGTGGTATGCATGAATAAATGAATGAACAAATAAATCTTCCCAGAGGCTAAATAAATTTACAGAATTATAGTTACATAGTAAAAGACCTTCTGGAAAATTCATCAAGTCATCAAAGAATGATAATCCAAGTAGGCTTTTACAAATCTACTTGGCACTCTCTCCCCTTGCCCCAATCCCTGTCTTTCATCTATATAGGAACTCAGAATGTTTGAGGTAGAAGGGGCTAATCTTTATTTTACAGATGGAGAAAAAGTCAGTGACTCACTCAAGATCACACAACTAAGTACTATAGGTGGTACTAAAACCTCAACTTCTTGCTGCTAGAAGTTCAATACTGCCTTCCTCTTCTACATGATATAGGACATTGCTGTCTAATTATATGACATCAACACAATACAGTAAAATGACTTTGTAAGTGGCTTTACCTGCTGTGCACCCCCCACCCCCAAAAAGTTGAAAACCAACCCCAAAATGCTTTAGAAAATCTTCAGGATAAGCAAAGGAAGCAGCAGAAGGAGTGAAAGGCTATGTTGACAACTTGTCTCTCCTTTTTACTTCTCTCTCTCTTTTCCTCCCTCCCCTTGACAAAAAAAAGTATCACACTTTGGATAATTTGGAAAGCATAAAAAAGTATGAGGAAATTAAAAGTCACCATGTTTATCATTCTATTACCCAGATGAAACTATGATTGACATCCTGGCATCATTCCTTCCAGTTTTTCTATATATTCTCCTATTTTATGTAATTTATATATATACAAATATAGTTTATGTAATTTACATATATATAAAATTTGGGACTCTGCCATTGTCACTTAACATTTTAACAATTTTTACAATTAAATTTTATCATTTTAAAAATTCAACCTTCATTAAAATTAATTTTTAAAGCTTACAAAATGTACACTACCAAGATTTACGTAACCAATCTATTCTTCTGCATATGTACATTTATTTTTAAAATTTTCCTATTATTTATTAGTGATCATCTTTAACCATATTTCTAATAATTTAGAAATAGAATGTGTATTACATTTCTTCAAAGTTTGTATCTTTGTATTTAGAAATTTCAAAGATATAAACTTTTAAGAGTTCTGATACACATAATCAAATTACTTTCTAGCAAGTGTACTTATCTTCATTCCCTCCAACAGCACATATTGTGTCCATCAAAATGGAGTATTCTTATACTTAAAATATATATTTTTCTAATTTGGTAACTAAAGTAGAACTGCTATCTTGTAATAATTTTAACTTATTTGCTTACTAATAAGGCTAATAAGAATACTTTTTATAGTTGTTAGACATCTATGTTTCTTTAATGCAGGGGCTACCAAACTATGGTTTATGAGTCAAATCTGGTGCTTGGTTTTGTAATGCCTGTTTCAGAACACATCTGTCCATTTTGTTACATATTGTTTATAGCTCCATTCACTCACATAGCCCACAAAGTTTAAAAATATTTACCATCTGGCTCTTTACAGAAAATGTTTGCTGACTCCTGCTTTAATCATTTGTCCGTTCAGTCCTTTCTTACATTTTTCTATTGGAATACTTGTACTTTTCTTACAATTTAGCAATAGCACCTTACATATTAAGGATTTTTAGTCTTTGGCATACATTTTCCTAATATTTTGCCTGTTTTTAAATAAACCTTTCTATGGCATTTTTTTCTATCGTACATAAATTAGTAGTCAATGCATGCATTGTAAGCATGTTTTTCCTCCAATGCTTTTTCTTTTAACTTTTTTATTTGGAGATAATAGATTCATAGGATGTTGAAAAGAAATGTGTAGGAAAGTCCCATGAGCTCTTCCCCAAGCCTTCCTTGATGTTAACATGTTATACAGCCATACTACAATACCCAAACCAAGAAAGTGGTATTGGTACAATCCATTGGGCTTATTCAGATGTAACCAGTTAAACATATGTTCATTTGTGTGCATAGCTCTTTGCAGTGGAATTACATGTGTAACTTTGTGTAACCACTACCACAATCAAGATACTCAACCATGACTCCTTCGTGTTACCCTTTTATAGCTACATCTGCCACTTCCTACCCCTGCATCTCTAACTTCTGGCAACCAATAATCTGTTCTCTATAATTATGTTATTTCATGACTGTTACATAAATGAAATCATGCAGATTGGCTTTTTCACTTCAGCATAATTTAACTGAGGTTCTTCCAAGTTATGTGTCATTAGTTCGTTCCTTTTCATTGCTGTAAGTAGCATTTTATTATATGGATGGTTTATTTAACCATTCAACCATTGGGTAGTTTCCAGTTCTTGGTTGTTACAAATAATGCTGATGTGAACATTAATGTACAGGGTTTTATGTGAACATAAGTTTTCATTTCTTTGGGATAAATGCCCAGAAGTGTGATTTCTGGGTTGCATGTTTGGTTTTTTTGTAAGAAATTACCAAACTGTTTTCTAGAGTGTACCATTTTACATTCCTATAAGCAATGTATGAGTGATAAAATTTCTCTGCATCTTCTCTAGTATTTGGTGTAGTTGCTGTTTTTTAATTTAGTCATTCTGATAGGTATGTAGTGCAATCTCATTGTGATATTAACTTTCATTTCTCTAACAGCTAATAATGTTGAACATCTTTTCATGCGTTTATTTGCCATCTGTATATCCTATTCAGGAAAATGTCTGAGCATATCTTTTATCCATTTTAAAATTGTATTGCTTGTTTTCTAGGCTGAGTTTTAAGAGTTTAGTCCTAGTGCAAGTCAGGACCTTAAGATGTTCTCATATGTTCTTTTCTTGAAGTTTTATAGGTTTATGTTTTACATTTATGTCCACAATCTACTATGAGTTGGTTTTTATATAAGGTGTGAGACTTGGGTTGAGGTTCTTTTATTTTTTGATTATGGACATCCAATTGCTCCGGCACCAATTATTGAAAAGACTATCCTTCCTCCATTGAATGGCTTTTGCACTTATAGATAAGTTGACTATATTTCTGTGGATCTATTTCTGGGTTCTCTATTCTATTCCATTGATCTATGTATCTGTCCCTCCACCAATACCACATTGTCTTGATTACTGCAGTCTTAACATCAGGAAGTGATTTCTTCCCACTTAATTCTTCATTTTAAAAATTGTGTTGGCTTTCCTAGGGCCTGTATATTTCCATTTAAATTTTAGAGGAAGCTTGTTTATAATTACTAAAAAATCTTGCTTATATTTTGATAGGAATTACATTAAAACTATACATCAATTTGGAGAAAACTGACATCATTACTATGTTGAGTCTTCCAATCCATGAACATGATTTGCTTCTCCATGTATTTATGTCTTCTTTGATTTCTTTCATCAGCATTTAATAATTTTTATAATATAGATCCTATACATATTTTGTTAGATTATACCTAAATATTTAAATTTATTTGAAGCTACTGAAATGGTCATTTTTCATTTCAGTTTCTGCATGTTTAAGTATATAGAAATATGATTGATTTTTGTGTGTTGATCTTGTGTCCTGTGACCTTACTGAACTTATTTATTAGTTTTCATAGTTTTATTACAGATTACTTGAGGTAGTCTATGTTAGGCTATCATGTATCTGCAAATAAAGAGTTTTGTGTACAAATTTTATTAATTTTTCTTGACTTACTGTAATATAATTTTCAGTACTATGATAAATAAGAGTGGTGAGAGTGGATGTTAAATAATAGTGGTAAGAGTGGGCATCCTTGCCATGTTCCCTGTCTTAGAGGGAAAGCATTCAGTCTCACCATTAAGTATAATGTTAGCTGTGGATTGTAACAATTTTATATGAAGAGAAAAATGTTTCAAAAAATCCTTCCAAAACAAGAAAAGAAGAAAAATAACTATTAACCTATTTTTGAAAGGAACAAACCATTTTCCACAAAATAACTGTCCTTCAGAAGAGTACCCCCAAAGAAGATCAAGTATCCTGTCCACTCACAAGTAAAGAAGAGTGTGGTCTCATCCAGACGAATGTTCTTTGGCTTGATACATAAATCCACACTGGCAGTATCCAGGCTGCGCTGGTGAGTCTTAGAGTTGTAGCACGATGCTGAGCGGCAGTGGTCTCGAAGCCAGACATAATCAAAGCGCATTACGGTATTAGCATATTTCAGCTCTAGGGAAAAGATCACGTTCATCAGAAATCAGCATCCAGAAAACTTCCTTCTAAAAGTCTTCTACCAAGAAATAAGCAAAAGCAGTAAGGGTTGAGGGGAGGGACTTGCCCCTTACCAGATATTAAAATATACTGTAGAACTTCTATAATTAAAATGGTGTAATGTTGTATTTAAATAGATAAAATGATGGAAGAGTATAAAAAGCCCAGAAATATGCCCAAATGCATATGGAAATCTGATATGTAATAAAGTGACAGCAAAAGTCATTGAGGAAAAGATGAATTTTTAAATAAATGGTGTTGGGACAACTAGATAGAACTTGGGAAAATATAAATTTGTGTCTATATGTCATGTTGTCAGAAGGTCATCAAGATAAACTCAAAATATATAAGTACTAAATTTAGAATATGAAACCATTCAAATATCAAAAGAAGGAAGCATAGGTGTGTAGAGGATATATAGGAGGTGATATGGTTTGGCTCTGTGTCCCCACCCAAATCTTATGTTGAATTATAATCCCCAATGTTAGGGGACAGACCTAGTGGGAGGTGATCGGATCATGGGGGCAAATTCCCCTTTGCTGTTCTCCTGAAAGTGACTGAGCTCTCACAAGATCTGGTTGTTTAAAAGTGTATAGCACTTTCGCCTTCACTTTCTCCTGCTTTGCCATGGTAAGATGTGCTTGCTTCCCCTCGCTTTCCACCATGATTGTAAGTTTCCTGAGGCCTCCCAGCCATGCTTCCTGTACAGCCTGCAGAACTGTGAGTCAATTAAACCTCTTTTCTTCATAAAGTACCCAGTTTCAGGTAGTTCTTTACAGCCAAGTGAGAACAGACAAACACAGAAAATTGTTACCAGGGAAGTGGGGCATTGCTATAAAGATACATGAAAATGTGGAAGCAACTTTGGAACTGGGTAACAGGCAGAGATTGGAACAGTTTGGAGGGCTCAGAAGAAGACAGAAAGGTGAGGAAAAGTTAGGAACTTCCTAGAGACTTCTTGAATAGTTTTGACCAAAATGCTGATAGCGATGTGAACAGTGAAGTCCATACTGAGGTGGTCTCAGGTGGAGATGATGAACTTATTGGGAACTGGAGTAATGGTCACTCTCGCTATGCTTTATCAGAGACTGGCAGCATTGTGGCCCTGCTCTAGGGATTTGTGGAACTTTCAACTTGAGAGAGATGATTTAGGGTATCTGGCAGAAGAAATGTCTAATCAGCAAAGTGTTCAAGATGTAGCGTGGCTGCTTCTAACAGTGTACGCTCATATGCATTTGCAAAGAGATGGTCTGAAATTGGAACTTATAGTTAAAAGGGAAACAGTATAAACGGTTGGAAAATTTGCAGTGAGACTATGTGGTGGGAAACAAACCATTTTCTGGAAGGAATTCAAAGCTGCAGAAATTTCCATAAGCAAAGAGAAGCCAAATGTTAATATCCAAGGCAATGGGGGGAAATGTCTCCAGGGCATGTCAGAGACCTTTGCAGCAGCCCCTCCCATTACAGGCCCTGAGGCCAAGAGGGAAAAAAGAGTTTTGTGGGCCATGCCTAGGGCCCTACTGCTCTATGTAGCCTTGGGACACGGCCCCCATGTCCCTTGGCTCTATGTCTCAGCTGCTTCAGCTCTAGCCATGGCTAAAAGGGACCAAGGAACAGCTTGGGCCATTGCTTCAGAGGATGCAAGCCCCAAGCCTTGGTGGCTTCCATGTATTATTGGGCCTATGGGTGCCCAGAAGACAAGAGTTGAGGCTTGGGAGCCTCTGCATAGATTTCAGAGGATGGATGGAAATGCCTGGATATCCAGGCAGAAGTCTACTGCAGGGGCAGAGCCCTCATGAAGAACCTCTCCTAGGACAGTGTGGAGGAGAAATGTGGGGTTGGAGGCCCCATACAGAGTCCCCACTAGGGCACTGCCTAGTGGAACTATGAGAAGAGGGCCACTGTCCTCCAGACCCCAGAATGGTAGATCCACCAATAACTTGCACTGTGCACCTGGAAAAGCCACAGCCACTCAATGCCAGCCTGTGAAAGCACTCCCAGATGCTGTACCCTGCAAAGCCAGAGGGGCATAGCTGCCCAAGGCCATGGGAACCCACCACTTGAATCAGCATGCCCTGGATGTGAGATATGGTATCAAAGGAGATTATTTTGGAGCTTTAAGATTTAATGACTGCTCTGTTGGGTTTTGAACTTTCATTTGGAATGGGAGCATTTACCCAATGCCTGTACCCCCATTGTATCTTGGAAGTAACTAACTTGCTTTTGATTTTACAAGCTCATAGCTGGAAGAGACTAGCCTTGTCTCAGATGAGACTTTGAACTTGAACTTCTGAGTTAGTGCTGGAGTGAGTTAAGACTTTAGGAGACTGTTGGAAGGTGTGATTGGTTTTGAAATGTGAAAAGACATAAGATTTGGGAGGGGCTAGGAGTGAAATGGTGGAATGATATGGTTTGTCTCTTTGTCCCCACCCAAATCTCATGTTGAATTGTAATCCCCAATGTTGGGGGAGGGACCTGGTGGGAGGTGATTGGATCATGGGGGCAAATTCCCCCCTTGCTGCTCTCATGATAGTGAGTTCTCATGAGATCTGGTTGTTTAAAAGTGTGTAGCACTTCCCCCTTTGCTGTCTCTCTCCCCTGCTCCACCACGCTTGCTTCCCCTTTACCGTCTACCAAGATTTTAAGTTTCCTGAGGCCTCCTAGCCATGCTTCCTGTACAGCCTATGGAACTGTGAGTTAATTAAATTTCTTTTCTTCATAAATTAACCATTCTCTGGGAGTTCTTTATGGCAGTGTGAGAATAGACTAATACAGGAGGTCCTTGTACTATTTTAGCAACTAACCTTCTGTTAATTTGAAGTTATAGCAAAATAAAAAAATTACAAAAAAACAAAGACTTTCTATACATTAGGTTACTCATTTAGAAAAGGTAAATAAAGTGTGTGACCCAATTTACAAAAGAAAAGAAAAAATAAGTTATGTCTTCATATAATTCAAAAAAATAAATTTCTGATGGATTAAAGTACAAAAAATTAAAACTGTGAAACATTAAATATTGACAACCTTGAGGTAAGAAAGGTTGTTTTAATATGACACAAAAGGCATAGAGATAAATTTGTCTATATTAAAATAAATACCTTCTGTTCTGCAAACAATATAAAAGCAAAGTTAAAAGACAAGTAACAGGAAAAAAATTTGTAACATAAAAGGATTAATATCCAGCATATAGAATAAACCTCTGAGATCATTAAAGATGAAAACCCAACAGAAAAATAGGTAAAGGATATCACTAAGGAAAGTCACCAGAAGTGACCGGTATACATATGAACTGCCCCCAGCCTTGTTAATAATCAAAGAAATGGGTATTTAAACCAAAATGTGATACCATTTTATACCAATCAGAGCAACAAAAATTTTAAAGGCTGATTAAAATGTGTTTTAAAGGATGTGGGGAAAAATGCATACTTGCAAACACTGGTAGTAGGAGTAAATATTGTTAAAGTTATACTATATGGCATCAGCAAGTTTCTATGAAAATAATTTAAAATGTGCATATTTGACCTAGAAATTCACCTCTCAGTATTTATCTTTTTTACTCTTGTACTTTATTTATTTATTTTATCTTTTAATATATATTTTTTTATTTCAATAGCTTCTAGGGCTCAAGTGGTTTTTGGTTACATGGATGAATTGTATATTGGCGAAGTCAGAGATTTCAGTGCACCCATCACCTGAGTAGTAGTGTACACTGAAACTGATATGTAGTTTTTTATTCCTTATCCCCCTCCTTCCCTCTCCCATTCTGAGTCTCCAATGTCCATTATACCACTCTGTATGCCTTTGCATAACATAGCTTAGCTCCCACTTATAAGTAAGAACATACTGTATTTGTTTTTTTATTCCTGAGTTACTTCACTTAGAATAATGGTCTCAAGCTCCATCCAAGTTGCTGCAAAATACTTTATTTCATTCTTTTTTATGGCTGAGTAGTATTCCACGGTGTATATATACATTTTCTTTATCTACTTATTGGTTGATGGGTACTGAGGTTGGTTCCATATCTTTGCCATTGTAAATTGTGCTGTGATGAACATACACATACAGGTGTCTTTTTGATATAATGACTTATTTTCCTTTGGGCAAAGAGTAGTTCACCTCTCAGTATTTATCTTATAGAAAGTGTCACACGTGTGGAGCAGCATATAAGGATATTCATAATAGTGATGGTTATAATAGTAAAAATAATTAGAAAAAAGACTAAATGTCTATCAGTGGGGAAGTGGAAGAATCGCTGAATAAACTGTGGTTTATCCACATTTTAAGATATTAAGCAATAGTTTTTAAAAACTGCTATACCTGTACCTCTCACATTCACTTTCATTGGTAATATCATTCTCATTTTAAGGACAACTAATTAAAGCTCAGAAATGCTAAGTAACTTTGTAAGAATATAATCATTAGGTGGTAGAGCTAGGACATGAACCCAAGTCGTGCAACCCCACAGCCTAGTACACTAATGCGTCTCAAAGTACAGCCTTGGGAGTCTGGAGGTGAGACTTCTTTTAGAAAAACATAATGAGGAGCTTGGCAAATTCTCTCCCCCAAAAGTATTGATAAAACTGGCCAAAATTTAAAAAGAACCATTTTAAGACTCTGGAAATTGTCCAAAGGTATACAGCAAGTTGAGAAGTATTTATTCTATTTTTAATTTCTTTAGTAATAATACTGTTTCCTATAATTGCTATACCAATCTACATTCCCACCAACAGTGTACAAAAGTTCCTTTTTCTCCACACCCTTTCCAACACCTGTTATCTCTTGTCTTTTTGACAATAGGTATTCTAATGGGTGTCAGGTGGTATATCAGAGTAGTTTTGATTTGTATTTCTCTTATAATTAGCGATGTTGAGCATCTTATCATATAGGTGTTGGTCATTTGTATGTCTTCTTTGGGGAAATGTCTATTCAGATTCATTGACCATTTTTTAATTGGGTTA